ACACAAGGATATGGCCGAACAAGGGCATTAAAACCAAAGACAATACTAATTCCTCTCAGAGACCATTTTCGTAAAGATCAGATGCCACTTTAAAATTCGTATATTTTCCAAAAATTTTCTTAATGGATTCAAAGCGGCTGGTTTGCGGTCATGGAATGTCTGTATTAGAATCCCGTTAACCCAAAGTCACAATCAAGATAGTCGAGGTTTGAATCAAGAACCCATAGCTTGGATAGACGTGGATAATCCTAAGTTTTGTTTTTAATTCACAGACCGTCTTGCCATAGAGCGCTATCACAAAATCTTCGTTACTGAACACGCCCTCTATACTGATGGGTCGACCATAGTCTGAGGCAGCATCAGCTTCAATTGCAAGACTGATCGCCATTTGTTCTGGGACGACTCTTTTTTTTTTTTATCTACAGAGATAATATCCTGGACTTTTACTTGAAGTCATTGTCGCTACAGGAATTATATATGAAAGTTTACGTAAAATAATTGTTACTACAGGAATAATATCGTGGTAGTTTACGTGAAGTTACGTACTGGCGCTACAGGAATGGTATCATAGAGGTTTACATGAACGTATGTACTGGCGCTACAGGAATAATATCGTGGTCATTTACTTGAAGTCATATACTGGCACTTCAGGAATAATATCGTGTTCGTTTACGTGAACTTATGTACTGGCGCTACAGGAATGATATCATGGAGGTTTACGTGAACTTATGTACTGAAACTTCAGGAATAATATCGTGTTCGTTTACGTGAACTTATGTACTGGCGCTACAGGAATGATATTGTGGTCGTTTACTTGAAGTCATATACTGGCACTTCAGGAATAATATCGTGTTCGTTTACGTGAACTTATGTACTGGCGCTACAGGAATGATATCGTGGTCGTTTACTTGAAGTCATATACTGGCACTTCAGGAATAATATCGTGTTCGTTTACGTGAACTAATGTATTGGCGCTACAGGAATGATATCGTGGTCGTTTACTTGAAGTCATATACTGGCACTTCAGGAATAATATCGTGTTCTTTTACGTGAACTAATGTACTGGCGCTACAGGAATGATATCATGGAGATTTACGTGAACTTATGTACTGGAACTTCAGGAATAATATCGTGTTCGTTTACGTGAACTTATGTACTGGCGCTACAGGAATGGTATCATGGAGGTTTACGTGAACTTATGTACTGGCGCTACAGGAATGGTATCAGGAGGTTTACGTGAACTTATGTACTGACACTTCAGGAATAATATCGTGATCGTTTGCGTGAAGTTATGTACTGGCGCTACAGGAATGATATCATGGAGGTTCACGTGAACTTATGTACTGGCGCAACAGGAATAATACCCTGGACATTTACATGAAATCACTAGGAACACTGGTGACAATTTCATCTTTATGAATAACAACAACTATCGACACTTGATCATGAAGAAGTTCCTTCTGAGTAAGGTTATAGTCCACATGAAGTAGTCCACTCGATCTCCAGACATGAACACAATCAATCATGCCTTAAAATCCCTTTAATGCGTTATTTCAGCCTTTCCTGTCCAGCCCGGGAAATTTCCGTACAGAGGAATGGAACCAACTGTCATATACCATTATCCACAGGCTCATCTAAAGCGTACAGAGACGATGTAAGGCAAGCCAGTGGTCAATGCTTTTAATGGATACACTCGCTACTGATAGGACATGTTTTGTTATTTATTTTTTCTCATCAATTAAAAACTATGTGCCTAGTTGAAATATTTAATTTTGGCGGCAGTGTCTTATTTTATGTTCAGTTGTGTGAAGACAAACTTGGAACAGTTTGTTGTAGTGTTTCCGAACATGTAAAATAAATTTAGAAAACTTCAGTTATCAGTTGTCATTTATTACTTGTTATATTCATTTGAAAAATTGATTTCTAGAAAAGTTGGAGAAGTATAAATGACACGAGATAAAATAATTAACCAGTAATTAGCGTCCTATAACTGAAGTGTCAAAAGATGTTAATAATTGCGGGGTAAACAGTTATGTTAATTTTAACATCTGAAGGAAACAAGGTGTAACAACATCACTCTATCTTCAATTACATTTTCTCTTAGATGTTTAAATTGACAAATTGGTTGTGTAATCTTTATAATCATAGGTGAGTCCTGGTTCAGCAGATACTTTTCTTATTAAGATATGTTTTACCATTCCTGCATTCTAGTTCGTACCTTACTTTTATTAGTCAGTCTTTTACTTTTGATCCTTTTTCTTTGTTTTGCCCTTATTTTCTGAAAGTTTATTTTAAAATATCATGTTATTACTATTCTCTGTATCCTTTATATGGTAAAATTAGCATAAATGTGTAATATAAAAAATTTGAAAAAGTATCAACTTCTTTAATTGTGTTTTATTTATTATAAAAGATTTACTTCTCTACCTCAATGCCGACTATTTCGTCTTTGGGTTTCTTAACCTAAAAGTCATTGTTTTTTAACTATAAATATAGTGTAATGTTTCTACTTTCCGTGATAGTATTGTAACACTAGAAGTGTGTCAGGGTTGGAAAAGCGCGAAATCTATAAAACTGCCATCTGAGGTAAAAGTCGATAATTCTTCTAGTAATCATGATAGAAATATAATACTTATAACAATGATAAAGTTCAATAATACTGATATTAATGTCATTAACATATACTCTCAGTAATAACGAATCTCTATATAAATATAATAGTACTGTCTGTTGTCTGTCCATGTAACTACTTTGCAGTGTGTATGAATATTAACGAAAATTGGCATGGAGGTTAATTCGGCCCATGCGGGGGTACATGCACATGTTTAGTTTTGCGGTTTTTATGGGCGCTTTTTCAATTTTTACCGCTACTTCGCCCCATATAGACGGATCTTCACCAAATTTAGCAAGAATGTTTGTTGGGTCCATGGGAAGATACATACAAAGTTGTGGTTTCACATTTTGTGTTTCGCAGTATTATGCGCGTTTTTTAGTTTTTTACAATTACGTATAAGGGAAGCAACTTTTCGTGTCGTAAGATAACTTTTCATTAATCGTGAATTTACATTACTTCCGTCCAGGGGACGGGTACTCCAACTAGTATGTATTACATTTGTGTCATCAGTATTGGACAGTAAAACTTTTATTAATAACCAGCAGTGTATTATCAACAATGACGAATAATCTGTTATAATCTATAATATCTAATTAGTTATTTAGATTTAAGAAGCCAAAATTTATTTGTTAAAGAAAGAATAGAAATGTTACATTAGAGTTCTATACGGTCTCTTAATTTATAAAACTTAATGAGTTGTAAATAAATTAAGTGAAGAGTCTTGTAGTACATACAATATGGACGAAAAAGCTATTTTTCTTTTCGTACTCGGGAATTACGACGAACTAAATATTCGGATGAACAAACGCTGAGTAGTAGACACTTGCTTGTCATTTTCTAAGATTTATCAAAAGAACTAGGATGTTAGAGTTAGGAAAAATGAGTAGAGTCACTTCATATAGAAAATTTTTTAAGTATCAAAGTAAACATCGCGAAGCTGTATTCAAGTTTATTTGTTCGCGTCCTAAGCTAAAAGTTATTAAAATTTAACGCAAAACATCTTTCAAAACTTGCTTGAAGCAGATTGATTTTAGTCCTAATGTAAGCACGAGTGTTTATTTACTGGAAGTAAAATTGATGTAAAAATGCCTAGAAGGTAGTGAACTGTGTAGCACGTTACACTTGTCATAAAAGTTCCATTTTCAACATCTTACACTCTACATTATTTACGGTGCAAGGCTCTATTATTTAATTTTTTCTCGACGTTTGGATAAAACTATTTTGTAGTCATCGCAATTTTCATAACGTTCAGTGAATATATTCAGGGTCTATGTTTTTGAAACACCGAATGAATTAAATATACAAAAGAAAATATAAAATCTTAAAGGTTATATATCTTACATTAGGATACAGTCACTCGATGATGGATTTTTATTGACTTGCATATGTATTTTATAATAAAAATGTAGTTGATGTAACACATTAAAACAGGGTTTTAATAATTCTAATCAACTGAGGTAAAATTATTCACACAAAGGTGAGCGTTTTTCATTTCTTAAATAGTTGACTTTTAATTAGTCTATCCTATTTTATTGCAGGGTTTGTTACATTTATATATCGAATTAGATTTAAAACACAAAACTTAATTTATTAGTAGTGGTTTTAAATATAATTTATCATTATGTTTACATCAAAATTTTATCAAATAGTTTTGATATTTAACAATACTGTTTCATTCGGGTGTGACATCTTGTATTACTCCATATACCTTGGTTGCTCGGACGAGACAATCAGCATACTGCAATAATTTAACATTATGAGCCAAAAAAGAACAACAACAACGTTATTTACATTTTATCCTTAATAATGCAATTAATTTCCATATATATATATATTGTCGGGATATCTTTTGACTGATTGAGGACTGGAATAGGATATACTATAAATAGAAAAAGGGAAACCTAAATTTTAGTAGTACTTTAACCTTACAAAATTTACC